TTTTTTGCGAAATGGAGTAAAGATGCGATTTTCAGACAAGAACGAAGTCCAGTTTCTGAGAATATAGCAACCTCCGAATATGCCTAACGCAATATTGGTAGGCTTCGCAAGATTCTGTTTTCAAAAAAAAAAWTTGCGAGATAGAATGGAAATGCGATTTTCAGAAAAGAATAATTTCAGTTTCCGAGAATATGACCACTTCTATCGTTATCCCAATATGCCTAGAGAACGAAAATACTAACTTCAGAAATTTCAGCTATGTATGCGAAATATCAGAGAAACGAAATGCTACTATCGGGAATTTTCAGACAAAACAAAATGCRATTTATCAGAAATTTTCAGATATTTGTTACGTAAAAACGAACTACTAATATCAGAAACTTTCAGATAGAACGAAAATGCGAATATCAGAAATTTCAGATAGTTGTTGCRAKAWTTWTTTTTTTTTGAGAGATTTGACTAAGTCCTACTTGCGTTACTAATGAGTGATCAATAGATCGCAAGCTGGCTACTTGATTGAGCGGGTCCTCTGAATGAGAGGTCYGCTCCGATACCAAACTGTTGCATACTGTAACGTGCAGACCAGAACAAGAACCGACCTTTCACTACAAAGTATAAGATAGCACAACGGAAGACTKAGATWCCAGTGATCCGAACAATCAATGTTGCAATGCAGCCCTGACCATACATCATCATCATCGTTACATGGTGTGAATGGGGCCTGGCGCTTCACACAGGAAGACTGCGCCAGCCCATACCATACACAAACGAAGAGGAAGGGGATAGACGAAGAGGAGGGGGAAGATGGGAATGTCGTCWACACCAAGTCTTCGRCACAAGCCCAAATAGTCCCTCGTCGAAATGTCTGAATCCCAAATGTCAAGTYTGGATCCAATGTCGTCAAGTCTGAAGTCACAACTCTGTCTCTCTCTGTCGTAGTCTGAGAAGTCAGGTTGCGCGAGGGTGAGAAGAGAAGGTGGACTTAGAAGAGGAAGAAGAAGAACTCTCTCTCTCTCTCTCTCTCTGTCCAGTACTAACCTGTGAAGTTGGCGCCTTGATGCAGGTACCACGAAGATGGAGCTGGAGCGATGGCGCCACAGGTAAGTACCACTGCCCTCCGCTAGTCTCTCTCCCATTCTACGATCTACCACCCACCAGCGCCCAACGCTGAAGACTACTCTAGCTATGGGCGCCCAGCGCCGAAGACTACAGCTAGCGCTAATACTACTGCCTAGCGCTGAAGACTACTGCAGCGCTCCTCCWGAGTGCTGCGGCCGAATCCTGAAGACTACTCGTGCCTACTGACAACTACCTACCCGTGAAGTGCATGGGAACTTCCTATGTACTACCGGGTRTGCCTCCTGAGCCTGCCGAAGGGAGGYAGGGGCTGCAGCTGCAGCTCSTGCTCAAACTCGTGAGGAACAGGCTATTTCTGGCCTGTTCCGCATTCCTGTTTACGTGCCTGAGYCTTAGGGGCAGGTCGAAACAATGAGGGCCTGAAAATGGCCCTCCGTTTCAGGCTGAAAACTCWGGGTMTGAAAAGACCCAGAAATAGGCTGAAACGGGGTAGGGCCTGCARGCCCTCGTTTTTCAGCTTTGAGGCTGAAACGAACGGGGCCTGTAAGCCCTAAGTTTTAGGCTTTTAGGCTGAATGTCCGGGACGGGCCCTGCAGGGCCCGTGTGGCTACGCAGTATGCCACA